GACAAAAGTAAGCACTGTTCTTTTTATTATGATTCCTTTGAGTTTTTCTTTTAGGTTTTTTATCTTATGGCGTTTTGATGTTTTTTTCGACTTGATATGTAGATGAATGCCTCTCCCGAATGTTTAGTCGCCGGCTCATTTTTTCACATCCGGCCATCGCTCGGACTCGAGCATGAGCATATTTCAGTGACAAATCAATAACAAGCAATTAATAGCTATGGCACACATCACTTTCTTCTTCGGCTTACATTTATTAAAATGTGACTTTATGAAAGATTACAAAGCTGAAAATTAATTAAATATTAAATTGAAATATTACTGTGAATCCATTGTTTGCAATTTGCTTATTACATTTCATTTTTATTTTATTATGGTTTGCCAACAGTATTTATAGGGAAAATAGGGGGTCTATGAACGGGGTTCATGGACCCGGTCCACGGACCTGGTCCACGGAGGGGGTCGATGGACCAGGGGCCCATGTGTTGTCCTCTCCCGAAAAACAACTTCTCATCATCTTCACCTNCGATGGACCAGGAGCCCATGTGTTGTCCTCTCCCGAAAAACAACTTCTCATCATCTTCACCTCTTGGACTGCTCTTCTCGCTTCCTTTAATACAAACTGCGTTCGAGAAAACTATTTCTAATCGGGAAATGGGGAAGAATCGAGTAGATGTAGATGATACCAATTTGACCCCCTCAAAAGATTCTTCAGGTGCGAATGACGTCATCTCCACCTTGCATTCGGCTTGCCCGCCTGAAATTTGAATTGGCCAATCAGGAATAGACAAATTCGGCTAACTCACGCATGGGTGTCACGTGACTTGAATTGGGTACAACAACAACCAAAACAAGTGCGTACGTATTGACATTTAGAGAAAAATAAGCCACGATTCCGCGGTTTTGTTGCACCGGAGACTGTCAGAAAAGCTCCGCTAACCGAAAAGATCTGTCGTTTCACGGGTTTCCGTTAAATTTTAAAAGTCTCCTCTCTGTTTGGATCGTGAAAATGAAAAGAGATCCACGACTTTTCAACGTCAGTACTGTAGCGAACACTTTACATCGGAAGATTTTATTAATCCTTACTGTAGTAATAATAGATTGAAGGCCGATGCGGTTCCTTTTTTTCCGTGGGATAAAGATAAGCAGGAGAAGGTAAACATAAGCAGGAGAAGGTCCAAGCGGTGAAGAGGTACGCTTCAGAAAAGCTGAATCAAAGCAGAAAAGAAAATGAAGCAACGGATTCGGCAGCATATGAAGGAGAATGTGTGACGTTGGTCTCGACTAGGGCTGGCGAAGAAATTATTTCTCG